TGGGGAACCTGGAGATCCAGGCTGCAGCAGCAGTCAGAGCAATAAGGAAGAGCCCCGGCCATACATTAACTCCTCATAGGCTTGTATGCAGCCAGGTAGACAGCCCTGATCTAAAACACAAATGTTTTTGCCAAAATTCATGATGCTAAGTGCACAGAGAAAGGGATATAGTTAGAATAGTAAGGGATAAGGCAAGAATTAAAAAAGAGGAAAATGACTACAGTCTGGATAGCGGCAATGACTTCTAATATTGTGGAAGGATTTTTTTTCATTCAAAAGATTATTTAAAGTCTCCTCCTCCCTTCAATACTTAAATTACAGAAGGATCTTGTCTTCCTTCCTGACTGAAAGCTTTCGTGAATACTACTGGCACTGATTTAATAATTTCATCTTCTATTATTATAGTGATGCATTGTCACTGCAAGAAAAAGTGTAGTACAATGTTCAGGTTCTGGATTTTTTTATTTTTCTTGAAATAATCGAAAAATTTCAAATGATATTTTGAATAATCTTTTCATTATGTTACTTCTTACTTGAAAGCAACAGAGCCCTTACTTCTCCAAAGAAAACTATACTATATCTCTGGCTAGCATGTCTTGTTTTGACCAAGTTTTCTTTATTTCCAAGTTGAATGATATAAAACCACTCAAAATCCTGAACAACTTTCCTGTGCTCATCAGCTACAGGGGATAAAGAGCTAAATTCATGGCTTGTTTGCGTCTGTGGGGTTTTTTTTGTTTTTTTTAAAAGGAACATAGAATTGTAACCCTGCCCCCCATCCCCTTCCTAGTCCAGCAATCCAATCTCCTGATTTATAGATATAATATAACCATGTTCACGTTGCAGATTGGCCAAATAACAAATTCTACTGTTATGTTAAATAAAGCCCTAAAAATGAAGTGTACAAAAAAGTACGGTTTTAACTTTACATACTATGCTTACCTTCAGATATTAAGGGAGAGGGGAAAGAGGAAAGGCATTGTAGAATAATACAGGCAGGCAGCACTTACATAGTTCTTTACCATCCAAATACTATGCAACATTCATTAATGATGTACTAACACCTATCAGATAATCAGATTGCCTTTTGGTAGGAACTGTACAAGCCTATGAAGTTAAAGTTACCATTCCGTAAAACTTATAAACTAGAAAATAATTAATGAATACTTATATCCACAATGTAACAAAAATAGTTTTTTCTTTGGCAATGTGGCAGAAACCCCATTATTCAAAATACAATATCAGGCTACAAAACACAGCCAGAAACAATCAAGCAATGACAGGGGGACATGTGACATTAGATCTCTTCTAACTGTAACTTTTGGGAATTATGTTCATTGCTTGCTTTACAATACATTTTTGAGGTTGTTCACATGTGTACTAGAAATGATAGCTCCTCTGTTGCTCAGATAATTCAGTGTTTGAATATGATAATGACCAACTCTGACAGCCTATGCCCATTTCGCTGCTGTGTTTCTTATACCTGTATAAGCAGAACAAAAGCCAAAGTCCAAACTACAAAAATGACAACAATTTGGACTCTAAAATTTGGAAATAGTTGTAGAAAAAAACTGAGTTTAAGAGCTGTGCAGCTGCTATTGCAATCATTGAGGATCCAAATGTGTGTCACTTCTGCATAAATAAGGTTGATCTTCCCCCCGCCCTCCAATACCTAATATGCATTTTTGATTGTAGAAGGGTCTCTGAATACACTGAAAAACGAGGAAAGCTTTCTACAAGATGGCTCCAAATTCCTGTCATATTCTGGGAAACATAGTTCAGGCCTTAGGAGCTAATGTTTGTGCTTTTTTCCCCATCTATAAAAGCTCTTTCTTTTGGGTATGTCTCAATTACAAGGAGCTTCTCCTACAAAGAAGATACTGAAGGCAAGTGACAGTTCTCACTTTCAGAAGTTGTCTGCTTGGACAAACATACATTAATATAAGGTACCTTTTTCAACACTTACTCCCTCATTTGATTGCCTTTATATAGTGTATGACTGGCCTCTTATGCTAAGGAGAAGACTTGTATCTCCTTATATAATCATCTCTTTTACTTTAATGTACTCCATGTCTCAAGACAGGTCAAGTGTGCTCATGTGCCTCCAGACAAAAGAAAAATGACTGGTTATCAAATAATAATTAATGCCATATAAAAGTCATATCCATGCCACATACAGCCAGGAAAATAACCAAGATGTGAAGCATACAATCTTGTACTTGCTGGAAACAGAAACATAGGTAGTCTTTGAAACCTAACGAATAACTCCAAAGCCAGGCAGGTATCTCCCAGACCTGAGAATAAAAATACTCTGAAATAACTGCAATAAACCTATGTAAACAACATAAGTTACTAGCTCCTCAAGAAGTAACTACTGTAGAGATGACAGAACAAAGACAACCTGTTCATCACCTAAAATAACTTCCATCTTTAAGCTAATGGATGTAGCAAGAGATCACTGCTGCCTGTTTTAAACTGTTAGTATTTGGGGCTGTAAACTAAATGTTCAGCCTTTAATACTTTGACAGTGTCTGTACCCACACAGTGGGACTGAACTCAGAGTACAAGCTCTTCCACATCACTGCTATCAGCTGTGTGGTTTCTCTACTGTTAATGTGTAAAGAGGTACTAATATTCCTCTTAGATCCTTGTGTGGAATAACAGATTGTCATTAAAGATAGTGGAACAGCTAGGGAGAGCAGGATGGAGCACTAATTAATTAAAATTTGCAAAGTTCTCTGAAGTGCAAAACACTGTATAAAATATTCCAAACAGTAGGGCTTCCACCACTCCCTCGGCAAGACTGTTCTTTAGAGTAATAGATCTCACTGAGAAACTCTCACCTGACATATCTTATCTGCAGCACCTATATGACTAACATCTCCTGGGGGGTTTTCTGCAAGTAATGTTTTACCTTTGTTTTCACTTCTTGTGCAAACCCAAAAACATCAGAAGAACGTCCTATAACATCTATGTGAGTCTCATAAGGAATAACCAAGACCTGTGAGTATTGGGACTGCACCCTCTTGCATGCATGCTGATACATCTGCATTTCATGTTTGCTTCCATCAAGATGGAATCTTTCTTTTCGTAATTTGCTGTGAAGCTCTGCAGACAAGTCTTCAATTTTCTTTTTGGCTTTTTCTAACTTGCTAGGATCAGAACTAGCATTGACCTTTTCAAGATACAGTATCGTGATCTCACCGTCTGTAACCTCACGACTTACAACACTGTTTTTTGCTAGACTGTCCTCATGTAAAATGTGTTTCATGTAGTAGTATACATCAGTGTCAAGAACAACCTGGTTTTCTCCAACTGCATTATGGATAAAATTATTCTTTGACTCCACGGATACTCCATGTTTCTGGGTCTTGCTGTTAGATCTTTGACTCGACTTACATTTTGCTTTCTTGTCTGTGTTTGAAAGGGAATTTGCTTTTAACAACAGATTGTCTTTTAATGATTGTATTGATGGGAATGAACCCTGAACAGAAATTTGCCCATTAGGCTGTAAAGGACTGAAACGTAAAGCTGTGATGTTCTTTTGAAGTTCTTGTACCAGATCTTCTAAAACATATTTATCTCCAAAACCAGACAAATCAAGGACACACGAGATACAGGAGAAGACCTACAAACATTAGAAGAAAAATAATCAATAAAAACACATCAATGAATATGCAGCAAGGACACTGTGATGGATAAACTTACATCTTCACTGTAAAGAGATACTTTCAGAGGATAGTGTCTGGGCAGCCTCTTGTCTTCTAGTTGATGTTCACCTTTCTTGAGAACATTCTCTGTAACTGAAAGGGAAATTCAAACTCAGTTGTTTTGCAGTCAAAGGATGAACTTTTACTGCTAGTCTGATTCTTGGAATATTTCACAGGTCTTGGTCTCTTTTTCTTCCCCTCTCTCAGTGTTCTCCCTAGCCATTTCCTCATGTTCAATATTCCTGCCTGACATTTTATGCATTACTCAAAATTGTTCAGAAGAGAGACAGCAGCTTGACTCCTTAGAACATTAATTGGCAGAGATTTACTCCCCAAGGCTTGACTATAAAAAATCATATCTTTATGATTTTTATGATCTGTTATGTAGGGCATAGATTTATTCTTTTACCAGTCTTAAAAAAAACACACAACAATTGTGCAAGAAGCCTGTTCATATTCATGCCTTTAAGGAATAGCAGGAAATCCTAAAACTTGAGTTATTAAAATGAGGACATTAAATCCCTGCATAGATGAAATCCCAGGAATAATAATTTATTGAAAATGTTATGTTTTATGGTTAATGTTCTAAACCTCATTCTTCTATTGCATGGTTATAATTACATCTTTTGAATATAAATACCTTTCTGATCTTCAAACGTTATATATGCAACTCCTTTTGTTGTTGTCGGATAGACTATGCCTTCCACATCTCCACCCCTATTCTTCGCCCGCTGGAAATGAATCATCAGTATGTCAGCCATGACATCATCTTTCAGAATGCCGTCTGGAATACCAGAAACTATAACTGTTCTCTCTGATTTAGAAGCTTCTCCAGCAGCCTGTATACCAAGACAAGAGCATATGGCAAATGCAAGTAATGGCTTAGGCCTCTAGATGGTACCTCATTATGAGAGGCTCCCCAGCCCTTCCTGCTATCCATTTCACCCCATTCCTCCTACATAAAGACTTGCTACATACAAGTTCCCACAAGAAGAGGACTTCTGAATCAGCTTTTGATTCTCTCCAAAAAAATCATAGTACTTTCCACAAAACCTCAGGCTTACTTCTCATTTACACAAAGTTCTCTTTACCATTGTAAAGAGAACCATTTACCTCAAGTCAACAAGAGCATAATTTCCACCCACTTCAACACCCTTTGTCTTGCTAGGATAATATACATGAGAATCAAATGTTTAAACTTAAGTTGCTCCTAAAATGAGGAGTACTTGGTGTGATATTAATAAAAATATTCGTGCTCTAGTTTTTCATTCCTTTATTGACCGTTTGAACTGAATTAGAAAATACTTTTATTCTATTTATTGTTCAGTAGAAACAGAACTGACAGCAATTTTAGGGGACCAGATCCAACTTCATCAGAGTTCAGGAGGACCAGAATCCTTTTATCCCATCTCCCTCTTCTGTCAGATCTGTAATTCTCAATCAAGGTGCTGCAAGATCCTTTTAAGGGTGATGCAGGGTGTGACACAATATAAGCACTGTTAGATGTTCAAATACCTACACAGAATTCACAAAGTTAAACCCAGAGATTTCCAACAGGAATCCACAATGTCAAAAAACATCCTAACCTGTTGTAGTCCTTCTGATTTCTTTGCCATAGTTCCTCTACTACTTTTCCATAGTCAAAAAAGAGTGAAAGCTAAGAGCTGGCATGTTCCAAGACATGCCTTGAGTCTGTTTTGGAGGGACAGCCTTGTACAGTTCTGGTCATCTCTGTTCTGATGTGAATCTAGTGTATATTTAGTTACTCTGCTTGGGACACCTCACAAACTCCCCATTCTGTAAACAGAAAATGCGTGTCACAGGATTTTCTGTTACATTCTGGGCGCGTCTACATGAGACACTACATCTCTGTAGCAACACGCTACGGTGACATAGTGCCAGCAGGCAAAAACCATGACACCACAAGCATATCAGGCCCTTGGTATAGTGTTGCTACAGTCCTTCCAAAAGGACTAAATGACAGCGCAGTAACAACAGTGCTGTAGGGGCAGGTGTAGACTTGCCATCTGTTGAGAAAATCAGTTTCCTTCCATATTCATCACAGAAAAACAAATAGTAGTTTTTTACTGAAATACTGTAACAGAATTACTGTAAAGTGTTTATAGACTGACTGAGGTTTGCAACAGTTCATTGACTTGCAGAAGAAAATATAATCTCAGCAGGTCTATATGGAGGCACTTGTGAAAACAATAGTCTCAATAATTTCTGAGTGTTTGCAAGCAAAGTCAGTTTTTCCTTAAATTCTTCATGCTGCTTGTCAGAGCCTTCTCCTGGATCTGCACTGCAGAAGGTAGCCCAGCTGGTGCAGCAGCTAGAAAGCCTCCAAAGCATGCTGCAGAAGGATAATTTGTCATTGATGTGTATTTCAAGCTATGTCTATTATTTCCAGTCTCCTTATTTCCAAAGGGAGTGAGGAGACAAATTCAATTAAACAGTACAGTGGTACACTCTACAAATTTTAATTTAAGAAAACACAAAGCCTATTTTTTTTATCAAGCTTCTAATCTGAAGAGCTGGCAGCTTTTATATAAAGGCAATTTCCCCAGCATAAACAGATTTCTCTTTCCCCTCCAAATATGCATGACTCTGCATCATCCACATATCACACAGAGAATGGAGGTGGATCGTTCCCCCCTCAAAATGCTGTCCAAGTTTGCTGATGACACTAAGATGTGGGGCGAGGTGGACGCACTTGAATGGAGAGAGAGGCTGCAACTAGATTTAGACAGACTACAAAAGTGGGCAGATGAGAATAGGATGGGGTTCAACGTAGACAAATGCAGGGTGCTGCACCTTGGGCAAAGGAATCCACAGCACACATACAGCCTAACTCCAAGATGAACATGAGGCGCCAATGCCAGACCGCAGCCAGCAGGGCCAGCCATACCTTGTCATGCATCCAAAGATGCATCTCAAGCTGGTCCAGAAAGGCGATACTCCCCCTCTATGCAACTTTGGTCAGGCTGCGGTTGGAGTACTGCGTCCAGTACTGGGCACCGCACTTCAAGAGGGATGTGGCCAGCATGGAGAGGGTTCAGAGGAGGCCCACCCGCTTGGTGAGAGGGCAGCAGGACAGGCCCTATAAGGAGAGACTGAACCTGTTCAGCCTCAGCAAGAGGAGGCTGAGGGGGGACCTGGTGGCTGCCTACAAACTCATCAGGGGAGATCAACAGCAAATAGGAAGAGTCCTATTCTCCCCAGCACCACCTGGGGTGATGAGGAACAATGGTAATAAGC